AAATTTGGCAGTGGGAGAGCAGTGGCAGCATTAATTGCTGCTACCTTGCTGCCAAATTTCTGAACCTACAGGGAGTCTTGTAGGCCAAATAATGTGTTCCTGCATGCTAAATCATGCCAGCATGCAGTCAGGCAAGCATGCAGGGTTGCTCTGCAACTGGATCCAGGTGTGTGGGATCACAGCCATGGACTGACCCCACATGCCAACACTCTGTGGGGTCTCGCCTGCAGACTGACCCCGTGCCACTTAACTGGTCCATAGGGCTGAAAGGTTGGGCGCCTTTGAATTAGACAGATGTTTGACTAGGATGTTTTAGTCAAAGATGATCCTGCCCTGAGCAGGGGGCTGAACTAGATTACCCCTTGAAGTCCTTCCAGCCCTACTTTCCTATAATCCTAAATAATGTCTGACAACTGGTTCATAGCATCCAAGTCATCCGTTATTTCTGCTGTTCTTCGAGTTACGGTTTTTTGCTGTGTTAGGCAACTCTTAGTTTCTCAGTTTATGTTAATCTGGGAGTGTGCATATGAAGCAGATAAAAATCACTTTTGTGTAGACATGGATCGTGACTTAAACATTACTTCACTAAACAACATGGCTGGCAGTTTTACAATATTTCTCTAATGTCTTCAGGGGATGAATGCATCTGTTAAGGATCAGTAATTTTGCTTATAATGTGAACTGTCCAGTATTTTAAAACTTTGCAAGAAACTATGGTTATTGGAAATGTTTTAAAGAATAACAACTAGGCCACCTAAAATAAAATTGTGTGCATCTGTTTGGGCTGTCTTTGAAGACACAATAGAGCCTTAGGTTTCATTTAAGAATTTAAGGTAAGCTTCAGGCTCTGAGTCATGGAATGTATACTTCAACACAAGGACCTTTTTTGTAAGACGCACAATGGTGCTTGGGGAGATGAAAGTCTCTGCATCCATCATGTTGCTCAACAGCTCTGAGAAGCAAGTAATCAAGATTTGTTAAAGGACAAATAGGTTACTACTGAAACTAGTATTTGGGATCTATTTCTGTTGCCGTCTTTATGACTTTCCTGTAGAAAAATCCTTCAGTTTTTGGTCTGTTTCTACTAGGAGATCACCACCAGATGGACAAAGTTTCCGTAGCTTCTCATTTGAAAAACCAGCCATATCTTCAAAGCAAAACCACTCTGAAGATTCTGATGAAGACTATGAAAAAGTAAGTTCAAGTAGACAGTACATTGCCAAAGAGAATATTTTCTTCTGTTTGTGGGGTTGTATATTTTAGCCTTGAGCCAGATCTCTGATAAAGTGGATGGCTTTGCCTAAGTGTACTGTTTCTGCAGTGGCTGGATTTGAGAGATGCAGTGCAATCTTACACCTAGTCTAGCTATTCCATGCTGGCTGGCTAGCTGCAACAGGTTGACTCACTAGCAAAGAGCCCCTTTTTCTTGCTCCATTTTATTCAAGTAGATTTCTTTATACATCATCATCTTCTGAGAAACTGGACAGATCTAGCCTGTGCACTCTTCACCACCTGCCAGTCTCCTTGCCGCTTCCTCCACCTTTTCTCCTGCATTGGCACATCTGTGGTTCATTGCACTTCATCAAGCCAACTTCAACAACATTTGATGGGGGAGAGGGGGCAGGGTCTCTTTCTCAAAGCATGGTTCCTGGAATTGTCATGCTTTCACCTGAAATGATAAAACATCCCATCACCTATTATATTACATCTTATAATTTCTACATGTGTAGGATTCTGGGTTGTGGATAACAGAACTTATATCACTAAAATCACACTGTGAGCCTCTCTGATAGCCTAAGAGATGTTGCAGAAGTGTTTTTCACCTCACTTCGTGGCTTTCTTTCCCCTCCCTTAAAAGATGCAGTAACAAATCTGTTGCCTTCTTGTACTTGTAAAATGTTGGTGTGAGTTTGAGAACTGTAGCTGGAATATGGCAAAATTAAAAAAAACAAAACCTGCAGATGCAGATACTCCAGTCTTTTGGGTTTTTTAAGAAATGTAGATAATTTTAGTTTTTCTTTCTTTACACACACTTATGCTTTTTATTTTTTACCCCATTTTTTCTTAACAGGTTGAGCTGCCTAATTCAGTATTTGTTAATACTTCTGAATCCACTGATGTTGAAAGGTAAATTTAACTGTTTTTTTAAAAATGTTACTAATGCTCAGTAAACAGAACCTACAGTTCAGGGAGTTCATTTAGTGAGGGAGAAGATGAGCAAATAAGGTTGAGATTTCTACTAAAAGTCACTTTTTCACTAGTTTCAGATAATACAACAGTTCTTTTAAACTGAAAACTGTTACCTTCAAGAAAGCTAATTGTGTACTACTATAAAAACTATTTAATAACAAACTGACCTATGTAGAATAATTGGGCTATCAGAGGTGCCTTGCCAGGCTGCTAGACGTGGTAGATATCTAGTAGAAACTAGAGAGCTTTTTAATCTTTAGGTCACTGTTTGAACCACAGCTCCCCACTTGCCGTTGCCAAATGACCATCTCACGTGATTTTGATGGTGTTAGACCCCAACAGACAGAGGTCCAAATGATAGACATCACCCTAATTCTGCGGGTGATCTTTGGAGAGACTGCTGCTAGTGAGTAAAAGCTGAACTGTATTTTCTTGGTTCTGCGAAGTCCAACCTGTAGGTTGCTGATGGGAACATTTTTAAGAAACTGCACTTGTGATTTATTTTCAGTAGTATCCACTTGCTGACTTTGAATCTCTCTTGTGGGGCAATGTGCTGTGTTTGGAGAAGCTCACAGTTTTAATGACAAATGGGAGAGGAATAATAGGTGATTTGACTTTCAGATAACTTGCTTCAATGTTTTGTAACAAAAACCTACAATTTTCTACCAGTCAGCACCTATATGACTACTGAATTCGGTCTTTAAGTCCTAAATTATGGTCAGATATTTGTAAATGTTCCTTACAGCACCCATGACAGGTTGGGAGATGCAGACTGGGAAATGGAGACAGAATTTTTGATGTTTTCAAGGTCATACAGCAAGACAGAGAGAGATCAGAGATTTTTCTTGTTTTTCAGCTTTCTGAATAATGTCTCTATAAT